GGCTCTTGAATGGCGGCATGGAGCAAAGGCTGCCCTTGTGTAAGTGCCCCAACACCCTGTGTTCTGAACCCTGCTGCCTCCACTCAGGCCGAGGAATTCAAGGAAAAGCCGCCTGTCTGTTTTATCCGTTTCCTCCAGAGAAATCAGAGTATTCGCAATCTCATTATTTATTTTGACTTTGATAGTGTTTTTGTTATAAAACAACTCGATGTTATTAAGGTGAGATAGTCCACAGATTGTTTCTTCTCACTGTCTAAGGAAAGCAACTAGGGCAGAAATAACCAAATCAAAAAGTGTGCTTAAAACAGATGGCTGCAGATGTTCTTTATCTTTTGCTTGTGTGGATGAAGTTTAGCGTTAGCAGATAATATAAAGGGATACTCAGTTCAGTTTGACTTTCAGAGAAATTACAAATTTTATTAGTGCAATTATTTCCAAATATTGAAAATATCAGAGCAAGTAACCCCCAAATCATAGTGATTCAATACAATAAAGGTTTACTTATCACTCATGGAATAGGCTACAGAATGGGGGCCATTGGGGCACTCAGGTGGGGGCAGACTTTGCTCCATGCAGTCATTCAGGACCCAGGTTTCTTCTATGCTGTGGCTCTGTCAAGTTCAACAGATGCTTTCAGGATACCCTGGCACAGTGAGCAGACAGGAGGAAGCTATCTCTATCAAATGCATATCTAAAATCTCTCTCTGTCTATCTATCCTTGTATCGCTGAACAGCCTGTGACATAGGTAGCACATTCAAATTTTGTTTCATGAATAAGATTGATGCACAGGAAATGCAGGAACCAGAATCTGTTTCTTTAATGGAAAAATCAATGAAACCACGACTTGTTGAAACTGGCTACTGATGAGGGGTTAGAGATGAAATCTAAAAATAAAGTGTTGTTTTATTTGGAATCAAAGTTAAAGACTATTCTGAGTTTGCTGAAGGTTTTTAATTCCTTTATTTCTGCAGCTACCTCTGAGACTAGTTTGCTCCTATGTGTCGTTGAAACCAAGCATAGAAATCGTGCAGATACATAGTATTTGCTGTCGATGGCTTTGTCACCAATTTGACTGAGACACACCACCAAGCGAAAGCAAGCTTTGAATGTGAAATAGGCGGTCTTCATTCAGAATATGTATAGGCATTTAATACGGATAACCACTATTTCACTGGTCACTTCTGCTTAATTATCATTAAGAAAGAACAGTAAGTCACAAGAGAACAGTGATTCTCTGTCTCATACCTCTCCGCACACTAGCATTTAACAATGGGTACAGAGATTTTTTTTTTTCTCTGTATCGTGTTTGTTCTGATTATATTTATTGGCATGTAATTTTGTGTTAATTGAAACAAATAATAAACATAGGACTAATTGTATGCATACCTTAAAGAAATTACAATTTGGCACAAGAAACAAATGAAAGAGAAAAAGGTCTTTCACTAGAGAATCTTTGGGAGGGAAGATGGAGTGAGCACTGCCGGGTGGATGCGTGGTGGAACCTTTTTGTCAGCTGGTTTCTCTTGGAACTTGGGCCCCTTCGTTTTCTCTGAAAGTGCTTTCCCTTTAGCAGGGACTTGGGTAACACGAGTGAAACCCCTAGGTGTCCCTGGAAACCTCGCTGTCCAGGGACCTGGGGACACTATGGGACATGCTGCCACCCTCTAGTGGTAGAATAGAGACAAACTGCACCACCAAGGGGGCTCCTCTGTGTCACTGTTTTCCAGCCTCACAAACTCACAGCTGGCAGTGGCTGATCCCTGTAATCCGAGCACTTTAGGAGGCTGAGGCGGGTGGATCACTTGAGGTCAGCAGTTTGAGACCAGCCTGGCCAAGACGGTGAAATCCAGTCTTTACTAAAAATATTAGCCGGGTGCGGTGGCAGGTTTCTGTAATCCCAGCTACTTGGAGGCTGAAGCAGGAGAATGGCTTGAAACCCGGGAGGTGGAGGTTGCAGTGAGCTGAGATTACTGCGCTCCAGCCTGGGCGATGGAGTGAGATGCTGTCTCAACAAGCAAGCCCTCACGTCCCTTTTGAATATCATGAAAACCCCATACTTATATCCCCGTTCCCTGACCCAGAGATTCTTAGGGTGTCTGTTTGAGAGTCACTGAATTTGTTGCACAATTTTGACAGCTGAGATTTGTGTAGTCGTTGAGGATGTAAAACAAAAAGCAAAATTCTCTTTGTCTCTTTCACTTGTCAAATATAGTTAATACTGTAACCCTGAATATGGGGACGTCTATTCAACAGTTACCCTCACCCCCGTGTTACCTCAGAGGGGCACATGCCCTCCTGGTTGCTAAGTGTTGCTTTGGTGCATCACAAAGATACCAGTAACTTCAAGCTCTCTTTATTTTGAATTTCATGTCTACCAAGGGCAGTGACCTGGTTCCAGTGAAATTGTTTCTGTGGCACCTGCACCTTTCACTTCCCCCTGCCCTGTCCTCCCCTTGCCCACCTCTCTTTCAATTTCTCCTTTGCCTGCCTTGTCTTTTGCAGGAGGAGAATGACGAGAACAGAGAGAATCCAGTCCTGAGCATGGTGGACCCAGGTTTGGGGCAGGTTGCCGTGCCATGCCCTTATTCCACTCGTCAGCCTGCACAGGGAGATGACAGGGAGGTGAGCACTGAGGAAAGACAGGTATGTTCACTCTGCCCAGGTGAGCTCCGGGATGGGGCTCCCTAGGAGGGATGGTGTGGAGGGACATCTGGGCCACTATTCAGTGCTGGCTGCTGGGCTTCAGACAGCCTGGCATCTTCGCCTTGCCCTGCGGTCTCCACAGAGACAGTGTTGGGCTCCCCTGACTCACTGCAGTTCCGCAAGCAGGGTGCTCCCCTCACATCTGTCTCCTCCACCAACCCCTCCTCTCCAGCTGCCAGGGCCCCATCAGTCCTCCACCAACCCTCCTCTCCAGCTGCCAGGGCCCCATCAGTCCTCCACCAATCCTCCTCTCCAGCTGCCAGGGCCCTGTCAGTCCGACACCTGGGCCTTGCTGTGCGTTTCTCAGCTTCTGTCCACCCCTCCTGTCTGGCTGTCTTTGTGTGTGTGTGTGTGGCTTAGTCAGTTACGGTGGGGTTTCTGGGCCACACGGCCCACACTGTCTGCACCATCCTCAGCCAGAGCCTGTGCTGTGTCTCTAGGGGAAGGGGCTGGGTGTGAGGCCTGGAGAACTTTCAGTGCTGTCTTGCATGGGGACTGTCTACAGAGTTTAGGAGCCAGTACAAAGGTAGTCCCTGCAGAGCCCGGACAGCCACAGCCCACCATGTGGGGCCATCCGGAGCCACCCGGGAGGTCTTTTTCCCATTATTTGCTCAGGGTCTGTGTTAGTCAGCGTTCTCCAGAGAAGCAGAACCAATTCCTTTACTGTGTGAGGTGTGGTGAGCCCCCCCAACCTGATGAGGAGGCCAGCAGGCCGGAGACCCAGTCCCAAGGTCGTCTGCTGGCAGAACTCCCTTTTACTCTGGGGAAGCCAGTCTTTGTTCCATACATGTCCCACTCTCATTATGGAAGACTGTCTGCTTTACTTGAAGTCCACCAAATTAAATATTTACCTCCTCCTAAAACAACGTTGCAGAAACATCTGGAAGCAAGTTTGTCCAGCTGTCCGGGAACCCTGGCCCAGGCATAACATCAGCCATCACAAGGTGCTTCTTGGGTTTGCGTGTTCTCTGGTGTCTGACCCCCAAAGCCACATTCTCCTCGTCCTCAAGGATGGGTTTCCGGCCCACAGCAGCTTTGAGACAGATTTGAGTTATTGGCGGTTCCTTGGAAGTGCCAGTCACACCCTGGTATTCTGTGTCCCGGGGACCCCGGTGTTGAGCACGGACATCAGGCTGGTCCCCACTCGGTGACTCCAGACTCCTCACCAGCCTCACATAAAGCAGGAATGTTAAGCCTTGTCTCAAAGGTGTGCGTGGGGGAGGAAGTGATGGGGAGCAGGGTAGGACTTTTCACATGGGGAAGCACTGTGCTTACGTTGTGTGTTACGATGATCCCATTCTTATTTGGAGAGCATTTTCTCTATTTGCTTATTGCCAGGGTCTGGTCCTGGGGAAAGAAGCAGCTTGGGGCTCTAGGTCACCCCCCGAATCCTTGCTATATGACTGAGTTCTTTGCCCCACCTTTGATGTCTAAGTCCCTGACCACCTTTATCAGGAATCCTGTGAGGTCCCGCAGTTAGGTTTTGAGGCACCTGCCTCATGGACTGTAGAGGAGGAAATGAATTCTCCATTTTCGTGCTGGGTTTGTCAAGTCCATTCAGGCAGAAAGTGGCAAAGTCGGGCTTGGAAATGGGTTTTGTGACTCCACATTTCTCCTCGTTCAGTCCTGCCTTGGAGAATCATTCACTCCACGGTCATCTCTCTGTGTGTTAGAGAACTGGAAAACAGGCCACTCTAACAAGGCCCCTCCTACAAAGAGATAAAAGGGCCCTGGAGAAGGGCAGCAGAACTGGGAGTTGCCGGATGAATGCCTATATCCTCTCCTCCCACTGGAATTCAGGCACAGCTGACCAGCATTAACATTAAAACAATGCCTAAGGCCAGGTGCAGTGGCTCATGCCAGCAATCCCAGCACTTTGGGAGGCAAAGGTGGGCAGATCACTTGAGGTCAGGAGTTCAAGACTTACCTGGCCAATATGGTGAAACCCTGTTTCTACTACAAATACAAAAATGAGCCGGGAGCGGTGGTACACATGTGTAATCCCAGCTACTTGGAGGCTGAAGCAGGAGAATCACTTGAACCTGGGAGATGGAGGTTGCAGAGAACTGAAATTCAGCCTGGGGGACAGAGCAAGACCCCATTTCAGAAAAACAACAATAATGACAAAAAGCAAACCAAATCCTCTCGTCTCTCAACATCCTCTCCACTACTCTGCTCGACATAGAAAGCTCTCCTGAAGAGCTGGTGTTTTGAGATAAGACTTGGGTTCTGTTTTTTGCATCTGAAGAATCCTGAACTACCAAACATCAGAATAGCACAGACACGGAGAACTTGCTGAAAGGACTTTATTTGAGATGAAGAAAGAAAGTTGAGGACAAAGTTTAGGACATACAATAGTTTCCTTCTAGGTCACACAACAAATTATGAATATGTTTCTCTCTGTTCTTCATTCCTCAGTGGCAGCAGAATCTGGCAAACACCACTGGCCCTGCAGACCCCATGGGAACGTTATACATAACGACAGGTTCTTCTGCAATAGCAAATGAATCTCCTCCTTAAGCCTGGGGACAGAGAGAGAGAGAGAGAGAGCGCACATCAGAAATTGAGTACCAGGGTCAGCAGCGGGCAGTAAAGAGAATCTTGGAGAAACTGCATGCCGGTTGATGTGTAATGCTGGCTGCATTACAGCCAACAGCGTGATTGCACAATCAGTAGGAATAAATACTCCAAGCACACAGGATTAGAGACGCATTCTGATGTGCTGCACTTACAGGCTCCTGCCCTGTCACAAACACATATCTGAAAACACCTGTATGATTGTCTCTAGTTTCCAAAAGTCAGATGAAAAAATGTTCCTTGGTGAGTATTGAGGAGAGGCTTCTCAATACATTTCTACATAGCAAAAAAATTGGGCGACTTCATAGGTTTGTCATAGAATTTAAAAATCTTTAGCTAAAAGCCATTCCTCGAATATCACTGATTCTTTCTTTTCAGTACAAACATGAAGTAATTGAGGCCTGGGGAGGTGATCACATAACAGAAAAAGCCAGCTGTTGGGTCTGATTCTAGAGGTGTCTGCCTGTTTTTTCCTCTCTAGACTCCTAGCTCTGTAATGCTGTGTCTCTCACCTGAAGCTCTAAGATCTGAGCTTGCATCCGTTGCAAAGGAGATGGGAAAGTCCTGGTTGTCTGCCCCAGGCTGCTCCTGGGCTTCAGCCCCATCAGCTCTTTCCTGGAGTGGCTCAGCCTGAGCTTGGAGGGCCACCAGGAGAACAGCAGCGAGGAGGGCGAGGGCGAGGGTCCTCATGGCTACGATCACCTGGAGGAGGGAGAGCAGGAGCAGATGTGTGGGGAGTGAGGAGCCAGCCCGGATTTATAGCTCTGCTGGGAGAAGGCCTGAGACAGATATTGCAGTGAGATGGGGTGTGCATGTGATGTGATTGAGGAGCAGAAGAGCTGCCCTCGCCCTCCAGGTCCCTTTGATGCTCCTTTGTTCTCTAAGCCTTCATTGTAGTGTGAGGCTTTTTACTGAGTGTCGGTTCTGGTCCAAGCTGATAGTGATGATAAGAACAGAGCTACATTTTCCTGTTTTCCATCTGCTGGAATATTTACTTCTAACTATTCAAAAAAGAAAAGAACAGTGCTTTCGCAGAGTCGGTTCAGGAGTCAAATGCCTCTTACTTTCTAAAGGTGGGGCTGGCCACTCTCTGGAGGTCTAGACCTTGAGGCCAGAGCTGGATCCCACTGGAGTAGAGAGTTAATTCATTGCAGGATTCGGGAGGCATTTCTGTCCTCACGAAAGAGGCTTTGAAATTATGGGGTGAGTAGCCTCTTAGGGGAAACAGTGTGGAGAAGATAATGACCTTTTTCAGACTATAGGGGAAATAAGCTCAGTGAGATACTAAGAATTAGTAAAACTAAAGCCAAAAGACAGATTTATTTTAAGAAGCCAATGTGATCTGAACATATCAAGTAAAATATGTGCTAGGTATCTCTCTCCACTTTGAGAAATATCAAAACAATTGACATGCCCACAATCCCCCTGTGAAATTTTTATTTTTAATTTTAGAAACTTTTAAATAATTCACAAGGAACATTCAAAGGGTAGAAGCAGTAATGAGCCTCCATCCCTGCCCCAGATTTCCTTCAGCTCTGCTCCAGGAAATCTCCACTGCAAAATTAAACATATTGGTTTATACTTTGTTTTTATCCCCCAATGCTGTAACTTGAATAGTTTGTAGCTCCAAACACATAGAACTCTACCATTGTTTTTGTAGTCTCTTGTTTCTGGTCTTCTATTCAGGTGTTTTATCCATTTTGAGTTGACTTTGTGTTGGCATAAGGGTCCAGTTTTTTTGTTTTGCATGTGGAAATTGTATTCCACCACCATCTATTGAAGAGAGTCCCCATTGTGTCTTCTTGATGCCCTTGTCAAAAGTTACTTGACCATATGTGTTTGGATTTATTTCTGGACTCTCACTTTTATTTCACTGGTATGTGTCTGGTTTTATGCCAATACCATATTGTTTTGGTTACTATAGCTTTCTAATATAATTTAAAACCAGGAATTGTGATGCCTTCAACTTTTTTTCCCCCTTAGAAATATTTTGGCTATTTGTGTTCTTTTACCATTTCATACAAGTTTTAGGATTTAAAAAAAAATGTCTGTGAAGAATGCCATGGGGATTTTGATAGGGATTGTGCTGAATCTGTATGTTGGTTTGTTTGGGATAGACACTTTTGCAGTCTTAACTCTTCCAATTATCAGCACAGGACATCTTTCCATTTATTTTTGCATTCTTCAATTTCTTTCACTGTTTCTGTTTTTCATTTTCAGTGTGTAGATCTTTTACCTCCTTGTTTCTTCCTAGGTGTTTTATTTTTTGATGCTATTGTAAATGAAATTGTTTTCTTGATTTCTGTTTTGGTTTTGTTATGGAATCTGTGGGCATGTAAAAAAATACATTTGTTTTGTATTTATTTGAATTGGACCTTCATTTACCCAGTAGGAGATGACCATTTAGCTCAGATCCAAATTTCTAATTAAACTTGCCCTCTCCAACCCATATTATAATTGCCCACTGTGAGTTATAGCTGGCTGTGCCTCTTTCCCCAGTAGTTCGTTGGAAAGGCAATAATTAGTCTATCACCTGGAAATCCTATCCCCAGAGCTGTTATTCAGATACCCTGATCTAGCTAAGAGGACAAGATACTTCTGTAAATAAGTGTTCTAATTTGTCTTGACTTAAAGGAGCATTTTGGAATTGTACGCTCTATCTTTGGAAACTAAGAAGTGTTCACAGCCTATTCTAATTGAAATAGAAGATAACACAGACCAATCCCCATGGCCATTGCTAAATATTTAGACAGATGGGGAGCAGGAAGGCTTATCAGGATCCTTATCTCAGCTTGTGAAGTCACCACAGGCACCGTGCCCAGGGACGGAATGCCTGGACGTAAACAACACTTCTAGATCAGCAGAACATTGAAGAGTGTCAGAGACAAGGGAACTTCTCGTGGTTCCTTTCCCTCTCTCTACTTACCTTCCTGCCTCAGCATCACATACATGCAAATACTGAAGCACAAGCTCTGTTTTAAAGAGCAGAGCCCATTACTCTGGCATCCAGCTTTCACTGATCATGCACAAAATCGAGGCAGGTATATCTCCCCCTTGTTAGCCATCAGGCTCCTACATCCCCGAGAGAAGTAACCGCATCTGACCCGCAGTCATGAGGGTCTCTGCTAACTGCCTTTCTTAAATTAACCCCACCCCACTCCCACATGGAAGCCCTAATAAGAACCGAGCACCTTGGAGATGCCACCAAGATGCAGTCGACTTAGGCCCAGGGCTGTCTCTCTTTCCTCAGTGGCTCCACCATGCCTCCCGCATCAGACGCGGACCTAGCAGAGCTCACACTGCCTTCCGGTAAAGAAGGACCTGCGCTTGCAGAGAATTGGGCCGGCAGCACTGCAGTAGCACCTGAGGAACAGCAGGTGGCACTCCCGCCCTTAAATAGTAATTTCCCACGCGGGATTTCAAATGCGAGCGCTGTAAAGTTTTGCTCAGCAAACGCAGTGTTTTCTTCTGCACCCAAAGTGTCAGTATTACAACAGTAGCTCAGGGGGCACTACTGACACTTTGAACACGCTGGCTGCGGCCCTGGAAGGCTGGTCGCCCCGTCTCTAACCAAGTGTGGTGATGTCATGACCTCCTGTGCTGGCCGCAGGGCTGAGGACCTGAGCCCGGGGGCCTCTGCTCTTTCTCTGGGGTGGCGCCGCTGCCGTCCGTGCCTCCTGCCCAGTCTGTGGTGGGGACTCCGCAGCCAGGGCGGGTCAGGTTCTCAGTCTGTGCTGAGGTCTCACCTGGGCTTTGCCTTCGTCTCCCCCAGGTGGCTCCCAAACTCTAAAACGTCAATCAGACCAGGATGAGTCTGTATCATCTGGTCCCTTTTGCTTTCTTTCTGGGCTGCACCAGAACCTTGGCAGAACTCTGTGGTTTAAGTACAAAATGGTGCTACATCTCAGTCTTTCAACACTTTCACTTCCACCGGCCCCCAGCCCAGTGTCCTGGACCTGCCGCTAGTGTCAACTCTGAGTGTAGACACAAGTTAAACTGTTCTTTCATGCACATGCAGTTAAACTTACAGACCCTCAACAAGAGCCTTGACGCCCTCAAACTGGGGTAAATATTCTGGGGAAGCTGTGGGTGGACGTGCGGGTGTGGGCATGAGAAGAGAGAGGCCTCCAGCAGCAGCAAGGGTATTCCCACACACGCTGAGGCTGTCTGGTAGCCCCAGCAGACACAGGGTGTGTGGACCTTGGACAGGCCCCTGGGACATGGTTTTGACCCGGTAGGGAAGGGCAGTCATGGCGCCCTCCAGACCTACTTACTCCCCAAAGGCAGCGCCTGTTAATGCTATCACCTGGCAGTTTGATATTTCAACATGTGAATTTCAGAGGGACAAAAATGTTCAGAGTACAGCACCATCCAAGACAGGAAGTGAAAGATACCAGGTTCCTAGGACCTGGGCCCAGCAAACGGCACGGTGCTAAGTCAGGTGTATTCTATTGGTGAAGACGTCACCTGACTTAGATTCAACAGGAAACAAGTAAACCTCCCTTTCTGTGGGAGGAGAGTCCAAGAACTGGGGCCATTTTAAAACAGCCCAAGAGAGTTATTCTTTCATAGATTTTTGGATAAAATCGCTGCAGGCAACAATGCCAGACACATAGACAGCTTGTGAGAGGCAGCTGGGAAGGTGGACAAAGGGCAGGGGACTCAAAGCTCCTGCCTGTCCCAGCTGGATCTGCAGGCCCAGGAGTCGCTGTGTGGCACAGGCAGCACCAGGACCCTCCCTGCAGGGAGGTGGACAGAGGGCTGAGGGGAGGGAAGGGCAGTGGAGGAACACAGCGTGCCTGTTACCATGGGGCAGGGCAGGGCCTGCGTGGGGGTGAGTTCTGAGGATTGTCCATCTCTCAGCTCCTCAGAGTGCACCGCCCTGTCCCTCCTCTCAGCCCTTTGTCCACCGTCCTGCAGGGAGGGTCCTGGAGCTGACTGTGCCACACAGCGACTCTTGGGCCTGCAGATCCAGCTGGGACAGCTTTGAGTCCCCTGCCCTTTGTCCACCCTTCCCAGCGCCTCTCACAAGCTGTACAGACATCATTGCCTGCAGCAATTTTACAAAGAACTGTGAAAGAATAACTCTCTTGGGCTGTTTTAAAATGTGGCCCTAATTCCTGGACTCTTCTCTCACAGAAAGGGAGGTTTACTCCTTTCTTGTTGAACCTGGGTTGAGTGAGATCTTCACCGATAGAATACACCTGACTTAGCACCGTGCCATTTGCTGGGCCCAGGTCCTAAGAACCTGGTATTTCACTTCCTCTGTCTTGGATGGTGCTGCCGTCTGGATATTTTTGTCCCTCTGAAATTACTGTGTTGGGATATTAAACCGCCAGGGGATAGCGTTAGCAGGTGGTGCCTTCGGGGAGCTGAGTAGGTCTGGAGGGCACCTCACAAGTAGGATTAGTGCCCTTATAGAAGAGGCCCCAGGGAGCTCCTTCATTCCTTCAGGCGAGGACACAGTGAGAAGGTGCCATCTAGGAACCAGAAAGCTGGTCCTCAGCAGACACCAAATCTGCTGCCATCTTGATTTCGACTTCTCAACTTCTAGAACACTGAGAAATACATCTGTTGTTCACAAGCAACTCAGTTTATGGTATTTTTTTTTAAAATAGCAGATGGACTAGGAGGGCTAGTCACTTTGGGGCCCAGACACAGTGCTTTGAGGAAGCCTCGGTGTCACACAGGAAGACGAACTGAGACCACTAGCAAGTGTGAGCTAGAGAACACAGAACAGCCAGCTTTCCGGGAAA